GCACCCATTTTAACTGTTAAATCATCAGGGTCCTTACACTCACATCAGTTGAAAAGTCTGATCAAGGGATATATCGAGGTACAGCACAAAGTCTATGTAAGTGTAATTGTTATTGAATTTACAATACACGTTTTAACGAAAGTTTTCAACAATATTTAGTAATTCAATGTTTCCCATTTCAGCGGGAGAAAATTCAGCAGATGTTGTTGTAAACGTAATGGAACCAGTTAATGTGATAGTTCCAACTGGAAAACAAAAAATAAAAAAGCATGGGGAAATTAACCTACCATGTCGTGCTTCAGGATCTCCCATAATAACAATGCAGTGGGTTAAAAACGGAAGAATTCTTAAAGTACGAATATACACCAAATTCAGTGTTTTTTTCTCCTCTTTGTTTTCTTGTTTATTAGGCTCCTCATATAAAGACATTGATGATAAAATGCATTTTCTAGAGAATAGAGACTAGTTGAGCCTCTTACCTCTTCCCTCAAATTCATCATCATATTTTATTCGAGATTTCATTGCGGAGAGAACATGATCATTACACTTTTCTATTTTTACCTGAGGCAATACCACAAAAATATTTATAATCCAATTTAAACTTAATGGCTCTTCAAAACACGAGCTGGAAGATGGATGCAACTCATTCCTTTCGCTAAAGTTCATACAAATCTTTCTAAAAATGGTCCCAAATATGAGTTTTTTTTGATCATTTATGTTGCTGCCCGAGTTTTCAGTACGGGTCGTCTAAAGGGGTGGTTCGTTACAACTTAAGTTATTGGTATTAGAACTCAGAATTCGATGATACTGTGCCGTTTCCATCCAGTTTATGACTTTGACGTGAATCTAGTTTAAATCTGAGAGTAATTGTTTTGCATTCTTATGCTCGTGTATAACATTTTTTTTATAGATTCCTCTAAGAGGAAGCTCAAAATTTTCCACAAAGTGTTTATTTGATTTACATAACTAATTTATATATATTGTTGATTATGAATGATTTAAGAAACAATAATATATAGGTGTGTAGAGAGAAAAGAAAAACATACATTAAAGGGAAAAAACGGGAATAAATGATGTTTTCAAATCAAATTTTCTTAGGGTCTTTGGGTTGATTAGTGAATAGTGGTAGAAAAAGTGACAAAGAGAAGAAAAGTAATGATCCACTCAATGATGTCAATCTCAAAACAAGGAACGTATCTCATTGCCTTTCTACTGATCAATTTTTGATGTTAATGTTTTGTTGAGCTGATTTTTTTAATATTTGGAGTACTTTCAGAGATCTGATCCACTAAAGAGATCTGAGGAAAATGAATTAATACTACATATTGGTGATGGTCAAAAATCACATGCTGGAGTTTATGTGTGTAAAGCACAGAACAAACATAACACTGGTAAGTTATATCCAACATTGAATTAAGGTCGTGTAAATCTACACTATTGCGTATTTTCGGAAAGAAACATGATCGAATGACATTTACCTTGTGTCTCGTCTAGATAATGCATCCGTTGAACTTGAGTATCTTGAACCTCCAAAAATCAAGCTGACGAAATCTACTTTTCCGAGCTTGGTTGGAAGTAAATATATTTTACAGTGCAATGCAACTGGAAGCCCAAAACCAACTATTTTATGGAAAAAGAATGGAAGAAAGCTTGTTTCTGGAAGTTTTGTAGAGGTAAATCAATAACGAAAATGATTATACGTAACATAAATGAAATTCTCTCTAAATTTAGCTATGTTATACTTTCATATTAAATTTCTTAGGTCTTTTCACTCTTTTGCATGACCACTGGCCTGAAGTGTGTTGATTTCCTCACTCTTCAGTTCATTCAACTCTTTTGTTTGTTAGTCCTTTTTTTATTTCTGATAGTGTGAAATTCTTATAAGGATACTTCATCCTACCCCTGGAGGTTGGATCTACCCCTAGGTCTCTTAACTTTCAGTTTCCATTAAATACTTCTTTGGTCATGCCTTTATTCATAAGATGACCTAACTATTCTAGGTATGACTTTTACCTTTGCAACACCATCTACTTTCTAGAAAAGATTCTGCTACTCATTCCTTTCGCTAAAGTTCATACAAATCTTTCTAAGAATGTTCCCATATACGAGTTTTGTTGATCATTTACGTTGCTGCTCAAGTTTTCAGTACGGGTTTCATAATATTATAGTCTTTATATTTCTAATAACTATAGTAAATTATTAATATTATTTTCATTATAGTATAACTTTTTCTGTTTTTGTATGTTTCAAAGTTATTAAATGGAACATTGACCATCCACAATCTCTCTCTTTCTGATACTGGGCGCTACACTTGCCGAGCTAAAAATGAAGCAGGAGAAGATAAAGCACATATACCAATTGAAGTAGGATATAGTCCTTGGTTTGACTCAAATAAGACAGGTAAGCATCTTTTGGCAGATGGGAGCAGTTTTAGTCATACAGTGTCTCACTTTAATATTCGGTCACTTTAATATATATTTGATCTGAAATGGCTTATTAAGAAAACACGAAAGGTTCGTATATACACACTATATAAAAATCCAAGAGGAATATTTTATCACGCCAGAGGCGTAGCTAGTCCGAGGTGATGAGGGGGATCCTTTCCGGGAGACACAATTATAATTTTTTAAATTTGAATTAATATATAATTTTAATAACTTATTAAAAAATTATATTTCATTTTGAATTATATCGTTTTTAATATATTATAAATAAATGTAATGGACAAATATACTTGTACTTTTGATAATATTATAAATAAAGGACAAAGTTTGTTGGTTCATACTTAATGCGCTGCCGAACTGTTCATCCGATTGCGAAAAAACTTTGTCAACTTATTGTTTGCACTTCCAGGAAGAATATAGATATAGGGTGGGAATGCCGGCGCACACAGACACGCGAAACTCCTTTGAGTATCACCACAGTACCACACTTAACACTTTCAACAATATAAAAATCCTCTAACAGACCCTTACTAGAATGTATATCAGGTCATAGGACTATTCCTAATATGCGTCTACCTCTTTATTGGCAATTTAACTCACAGATAGATTGAACTGTTGTGACATTTCCCAAAATTTCAGAACCTATTAGTTGGGTGCCAATGAGACCATTATCTAATTCTGATATCATACGTTTTTAAAACGCATGGAAAACTTTCTAGAGAAGGCGAGCATCAAAAGGGATATTATCGGGGCTCTTTTAATGAAATTGTGAGGAATTACACAAAAAAACGGTTAAAATTTAGTATACGGTACACCCTTAGAGAAGCGTGGCGGTGGGGCTTAAGCCCTAAATACTGTACGTGCTCTCATAGAACTGGATAAAACTTAGAGATACGCATTTTTTATGGTTCGATCTTCATATGCTTTGTCCCCGCCGCATTGCAACGCCAATTTACTTTCAAAGGCAAGTTTTCTCGCTTCGCTCGCCCGGATCCAAGTCACTGCGAGGCTCGGGCCTTCGGCCCTCGCGTTCACTATAAACATCCTTGAGCCTATCCAACGCATAATTACCAAATCACTATTATAAGACATCAATTTTCAACAAAGCCTCCAGAATTCTGCCTAGTTAACGCTGGAACGGCGCGAAGTGCCGGTTTAAACCACGTCCTTAGATTGTATCGTATACTACATTTCAGCCAAAAAAAACAAGTCCCTTCATACTTAATATAATTTGTAAAAGCACATGTTACAAAATCCTGTACCGTTTCCAGTCTACCATTACTAGTGATACTTAGCAACTAAAAAGAAAACACTGGAAAACAGCAATATAACCTTACGTAATAACCAAATACACAATATCTTATAAAGCAAGCAAAGAAGTGTTGTGAAGTGGCAAGAGTTTTTATCCGTTTTCCACACACAAAAGATTTGCAGTAAGTGATTTTAAGTCCCTCACGGTCCGTACTCCACAGTCATTGGGTGTGCGCACGCGTCCAGTTCCCAAAAGCCGGGCATCTTTCCCTCTGCGCACTCGTCCGACGCGGCCGTGTGGCAGCTGCCTGGGGATTCCGCCCCGCCGCAGAATCTGAAAAAAAACATTTACCTCCTCCTGCGTAAGTGGCGGGTCGCGTTGCAGCGAAGGGACCAGCCTCCTCGCGTGGCCTCTGCCTCGACGCCTCACGCCTGGGGCAGATCAGCCTCACACACCGCCGTCCGTTCACTTCCAATCTCACTAGCCGAATCCCATAGTCTCCAAGCACGCACCCCAACCGACTGTCAATGTTTATTCCTTGAAGTCGGTGACCGTCGTGAGTTCAGAACTCACTAGCCTAGGTGGCGTTGTCCACCTCTAGGCGCCAATCGCGCGGGCATTTCAATTTTGTGGTGCCTGTCATGTGAGCGGCACTATGTGATTGGTCACAACATCCCAAAGTAGATTTTTAATTTTCTTAATTTTTCGATTTCCTAATACTAGAAGGGAAATATTATTTTAAGAATATTAAAGAACAGTAAAACATCGTCCTAAATGGTAATTTTCTTTGAAGAATTTGGAGCCGTTTTTAAGAAAACGGCGTTTAAGCGATTCTGTAAATTCAAAATTTGAAGCTCTTTTACACAAAATGTTTTTGAGTTTTCGAAAAACTTCATTAAAAGTCATTTAAAGCACTTTAACTAAAAAAATACAATAATGTTTACAAATTGCTGGAAATGTGCATATTAATGGCGCGAGAGATCTTTAAAAATCTTTGTGTAATTTTTGAAAAATGAACTTTACGTTATATTAAAGAGTGCAATTAGCTTTATCTGGTTGAAAATTTTGAAGAACAAAATTGGAACAGTTTTTAAGAAAAAAGCGTTTGAATATTTCAGAAAATGCGGACATTCGAGCTAGTTTTCACAGAAAACGGTTCAGTTTTTGAGACTTTATATGACATTATTCAAAACAATTTACTCATAAATATAATAATGTGAGCAAATTGCCGCTAATGTAAATATTAGCGACGTAAAAGACAAGTAAAAAAATTAATTTTTGTAATTTTTGAAAAAATAAAAGAATAGAGCAAATAATGTTTATATTATCGTGTAGTGTATATTAGCACTACCCCTACCAAAAGTTTAATGAACAAATTTGGAGTTATAGTTGAGAAAAATTTTTTAAACATTTTTTAAAAATTATACATATTGCACGCATTATTAGGCAAACACTGCTAAAATTTCCAAAATAATGTACATAACCTTAATGAAAGTACTCACTCCAGAGAACAAATTTTATTTGAAGAAAAAACCTTTATTTTCAATTTTGTAGGTGTAGGAAGAAGCCCGAAAATTTTTAAAATTTGGAAATTTTCGAAAATTTAGGGTTAACCGTGAAAATCGGAACTATGCCGCTTTTATAAGTGTATATTACTCTATTTTTACCAGAAATTTAAAGAAACAATTTTGAACCGTTTTTGAGAAAATTTTGAAAATGTCCGGGGAGCTTAGTGTAACGTACCCCCAAATTTTAAAGAATGATTTTCGAAATTTCAAAGTTTCAACTAGAGCCAGAAGGACAGGGTTTCTTGAATTTGGAAAAAGTCTTGTGCACGGTTTGGGGGCTAGTTGTTTTCAGGGACGGACTTACGAGTACAGACACGGAGAGACGGACAGATGGATGGGCGGACGGACAGACGAACGGACGTATTGAAGAAAAAAAAACACTTTTTCGGTATCAGGGGACCCCCAAACGTGTATTTCCATTGAAATCTCGAAATAGATTTTCCGCAGCATTACATAACTTTTCCTATACTACGTACGTTACTCCGCACAGGCGTTCTTATACGGGAAAGTAAACACAAAAGAAAAACAAACGTCGGGCGTGGCAACATGTGTGTAGCCACCTCAACGATACAATATCACAATTATTATTATTTTGGTTGTAATGTTGGATATCGAGACAAGAAGTGGACACCGCACGTAGCTTGATTCACGTGCTACGTAAACCTAATTGAATGGTTGAAAGGAAAGAAAAATCAGTTGCAGTTCGGTGTTCCAATGGTTTAAAGAGAAGTTACAAGTTACCTGCAAGACCTATTTTTGTTTTGTTGACTTTTAGTGTTGATGACTTTTCGAAAAAGAAGAAAAGTAAGATAGAATATCCAAATGTGCCATTAGCTCTTCGGCTGGTTTAGCATGGCGAAAATGTATCAAGTGCAAATGCAGAATCTGTACTGAGTGATACAACATGATCCTGGAACCCATATAAAGCCTTATCTTATTGAGCATAATTAATTCTGTGGTCTTGTTCGAGATCAATCCTTTTTACTTGGTATTCAAGGTTTTACTAAATACTGTTTACTTTGCATTTAGCAGAGCAATAGTGAAGCATGATGAAATCAAAGAGTGGTCTCAAAGAAATGAATTTATCCCGGGCAAAGCGAATGTAAGGTGCAAGCCGTTGGTGTACCCAGAAAGTATTCTCTTGCCTCCATTCACATCGAACTTGGACTAATGAAAAATGTTAATGCAATGTAAACAGTAGGATGATATGGGTAAACAAAGAATGATATGGGTTCAAGAAGGCATACTAAAGAGAAATTTTAACCAAACGTGGTGATGCTGAATTAAAAGAAGGAATTTTGGTTGGATCTGAAATGACGATGAACAAGGTGAGAGATTTTACCAAGATATTAGGATTATGGAAGAACGCTACCAATGATAGTGGGACTCAACCATGGGAGATTCGTTTTTCTTGGAAGGAATACGCTACACTACATAAACAGAAAAGCATTCATAAGTATACCTTTTGAAATATTGTTATGATTCACGTGTACCTCTTCATTTCATTGTTTACTTTAATTTCCAATTTAATTTTGATTATAATTTCATATATAGTTTTTACTACCTATACACTAAATTTGGATGCAGATATTATTAGGAAAAGGACACGAAAAAATTGGGGGAAAATTGATTTTTCATAATTAGCGCCACTTTATTTTCAGTTTTCTTCTAGACATGCTGATATATAGTTTATGCATATACTACGTTTCAGTCCTTAAAAAAGTATTTAAGGGAACTATGCAGTAGTCAGGGCATTAAAAGAGTGCGTAACCCTTGAAAGAATGTAGAATGGAAATTTTATTTTTAGATATTTACAAAGTTTGAGAAACCCTTTGCATTGCATGGCTGCATTATTAATTTACGTCTAGCGTGTTTTCTTTGTTTTTTCAATGTAAAACGCCTATTGTCAATAAGGATAGAAGTAATTGCATTGCTGAAGTTGTATTGTTGTGAGAAGTTGTAAGGAAGTAATTATATTAAATAAGAATATAAGTAAAGTTTTGTTGTGTAAGTAAAACGTCTATTGTATTGTCAAAATAAATAAGAATGTGAAGAAAAATCGAATATATTGTCTAATGCATTGCCAAACCAGTTGCAATATATGCGAAAAACAATAAATGATCTTCTAAAATAAAAACAGAAGAAGAATCAGGAAGGTAAAAGGAAAGGAAACAATTAGGAGGTTCCAGGTGACCCAGAATATGGAACAGGAATGCTCTGAGTGACTGAGTACACGAGAAATTATGCTACAAAATTTGAAATCAATTTACTCAAATTCTTGCTTTTTTAACTTTAGGAACAACTGTGTCAATTAAAAATTGTGGTAAATGCTTAATTTTTTACAGTACTTTCGACAATGTTTGTGAAGTCATAATCAGTAACAAAAATACCAAAAAGGCCAGCCATTTAAAAGTAATAACATATAACTCAAACTAGTGGTGCAACAGAATGGCACACATTTTCCCGTATTAGTTTTCTATTTCTTTTGTTATCGGCTAGTTTTTCGGACTTGCCACATACTGTTCCAGGTGTCATCTACTGCCTCCCAAAGTACATTGTTTTGAAATTTTCTTAATTTTTCGGTTTTCTGACTGTAGGTCGGAAATAGTATTTTATGAGTATTAAAGAACAGTAGAACCTCTAACTAAATGGCAGCTTTCTTTAGAAAATATGGAGCTGTTTTTAAGAAAATAGCGTTTAGCACTTCTGTAAATTCGAAATTTGACGCGTTTTTTCGCAGTTTTTTTTAATTTTTGGAAACCTTCATTAGAAGTAATTTGAAGCACTTTAATTCACAATTACAATACGATGTCTACAAATTGTTGGAAATGTGCATGATACCGACGTAAGAAAGCCTTCAAAGAAATTACATTTCTGTAACTTTTGAAAAAACAAAAAAATACCTCGAAGTGAACCTTACGTCATATTAAAGAGTGCAATTACCAATATCTGTTCGAAAAGTTTGAAAAAATTAGAGGCCCAGTTTTAAGAAAATGGCGTTTGAGCATTTCTGAAAATGCGAAAGTTTGAGCTAGTCTTAACAGAAAACTGTGTTAGAGAAACTTTACGACATCATTTAAAGTACATGTACTCATATATAATAATGTGAACAAATGACCACTAATATAAATATTAACGGCGTAAAAAAACTACATTTTTGTATTACTTCAAAAAACAAATGTATAGCAATGTGGCGACTATGTCATCTTTAGAGTACATTTAGCACTATACCTACTAAATATGTAAAGAAACAATTTGGAGCCGTTTTGAGAAAATTTGGTTTATGCATTTTTTTAAAATTGTTGTTATTGCTCGCAATATTGCGCGAAAACTACTAAAAGTTAAAAAAATACATAGCCGTAATGAAATAAATCACTACCGAGAACAAAAATTTTATTTGAACGAAAAATCTCTATTTTCAATATTATAACTGTAAGAAGACGCCCGACACAGTTTGAAATTTTCAAAAATTTAGAGTTAAACCTGAAAAACGGACCTATGCCACCTTTATAAATAAATTTTAATCTATTTTCACAAGAAAATTAAAGAAAAAATTTTGAGCCGTTTTTGAGAAAATTTTTCGGAGGGTGTGTTATAAAGTAACCCATCATTTTTAAGATTTTGGTTTTTCAGGTCTCAAATAATCGACTATTCAGATCGGCACAGATTTCTTCAATTTGGAAACAATCCTACGTATGGTTTAGGCACTAGTAGTGTTCACAGACGGATAAACAGAGATAGACAGATGGACGGACGGACTGACCGTCAGGTGGACAGACAGACAGGTGGACAGACAGACAGGTAGACAGGCAGCCAGGTGGACAGACAGACAGGTGGACAGGCAGCCAGGTGGACAGGCAGCCAGGTGGACAGACAGACAGGTGGACAGACAGACAGGTGGACAGACAGACAGGTGGACAGACAGACAGGTGGACAGACAGACAAGTGGACAGACAGACAAGTGGACAGACAGACAGGTGGACGGACGGACAGGCGGACGGACGGACGTTTTGAGAAAAAAACTACTTTTCCCTATTACGAGATCCGAAAACATATTTCCGTTGAAATCTCAAAATCGGTTTCCCACAGCATTACATAACTTATGTAATTTTATATGAGATGGTGGTTGTTGTACTCTATACATGATTTATTTAATGTAGTGTTTGTAATACGTAGCCTGAAGATGAATTTAAGAAGACTCCGAAACGTGAAAAGCAAGTATGATTTATATGATGACTAACTGTGTACCAACAGCGTTTTGTATGAATAAAAACCCAGTTGTCTATAAAAAGTGAAACTTTATGAAATCGAGAATGTGGAGTTGTACCAACTCTAGTTTAAATCTGTGCGTACGGCTACTGTGTATTCGAAAGGATTTCTACTGATTGATTAGTGATTCTCGGCGCGTGAAGTGCTAAGGTCACTAGTCCTGCAAGTGCAGTGCATGTTTTTATCGCGGGAGGGGACAGTGAGCTTCTTCGCAGGCTGGCGAGATCCGGCGCCGACCTACTGTCGGCTAGCGGGATTTTCCCTAACCAGGTATCTCCCACTAGCGGGGCACAACCCCTGCCGGGAGAAGCTCTGAGCTTCCGACTTGTCTCGCGACAAATGTATTGCGACAAGTGGTGGTATTATCACTGACATCAATGAATCAAGAGAATTTGTCACCCATTGATTACAGTGCAGAAAACCTAAAAGAATCATAGAATTTACATTGATTGAGCAGTTATAGTTCAAAATGGAAAAATCATTGGCGCATGCATCAAAATCCTTATGGTTCCTTTGCCGATACAATATAATATTTCTCAATTTTTTCAAGACAATGATCCAAAACATAAATTGCAGGTGGCTTCTCTAAAATTGCCTCAAGGCCACGATAACACCTCCGCAGTTTCCAAACCTTGTCCCAATTGAGTATTTGTGGTGTGAACTGAAAGACGGATTATTAAAAATATTAAATTTTCACAAGAAGAACAGATTGGCGGAAGAATGGATGTCTACAAACAATGCATACACGCACACAAAATAAATACTTTAAGTATGCCAAATCAATTGAAAGAAGTGATTTCACAAACAATTTACCCGTCCGAGTACTAACATAATATCATATAACAGTTGTTAATTTAATAAGAGTGACCAAATATTAAAATGGCATTAATATTTTAGTTTATTTTTTTTACATTCATATTGACATGATTTTTGTTTCGTTTTGTACATACTTTTACAAAAATGACATTTTGTTTTGGGCACTAATTGTTATTCTTTGACCTTCCTATCATGTGAATACAATAAGAAAGTTCAAATTCGTAGTGTGACCGAATATTAACGTGAGAGATTGTATGTCACATATACTTACTTTTTTGTACTAAAAGAGTTTACTAATAAGAAGGGACCTCTTTGACAATCACTTCCTGGCCACTGCTGGCAACATGACTGCATGTTATGTCCATGCATTCATTTTGTCAGTACGCACGGTTACAAATAATTCATTTGTAAATAGCTTCATGACTACCTCTTGCAATGTCATCGCCCTGCATGGCGTTCATTTGTATCCCGACCTGTCAAAGTGGTTTCAAAAAGGTCCCTTCTTATAAAAATTCCTTTATACCTAAGCACTAAAGACATACAAAATGTCAACAACATAGTAAACCCTCGTTAACCTGAATTCCAAAGGATCCAAAAATTCATGTAATCCGATCATATAGAGGTATGCCTATTACTGTTACTTGCCGGAACCCACATTTCGTTCTTTACTAGGCTGTCCGGGTGACGCCGCGTCCATGGCGAAGGTGCCGACGTTTCGGTCGCCATTCTGCGACCTTCCTCGCGTGGAAGCAAGGTCGCAGAATGGCGACCGAAACGACGGCACTTTCGCCATGGACGCGGCGTCACTCGGACAGCTTAGTAAATACTGACTACGGCCGCGGAAGCCTACGCCCTCACATTTCGTTCGTCGGCGAAATTCTTGTTAAGGTGGGTTTACAGTATGACAGCACAAACTAAATAGTGGAGAACAACTTTTTCAGATGTTGATATAGAATTTCAAAGAAATGGAACATTACAATGTATTGTACATGGACACCCTGTACCGAAAATAACTTGGTCATATCAAAATGGAAGCGAAGTACTGCCAAAACGATTTACAAGAGGACCACATTGTTCTATGACCCTTACAGGTGGGAACATTGATACTTTGTTTTAACTTGTGTCTATGTTTTTTTCTAGTATAATAAAGTTTTTTGTATAATACTCGGTTTACATCATATATCAATTCTACCATAAAAAGGGTGACTGGACATTTCTCAGGAATTTATTATACTATATACATACACACACACACACACACACACATATATATATATATATATATATACACACACACACACACACACGAGCATGGTTCACTAAGTCCTTGCGGTCTGCTCCCGGTGGGAGCT